ATAGACATAGTAATGCAGTTATTTTTGTTTGAATTTACAAGTTATTTATTTTCTTTTAGTGGAAATTACTGGGGCTTTAATTAGATATAAGACATGTATGGAGTGCATAATGTCAGCCGCCCGGCTGTTATTTGGTTTGACGTACCTAATAAAAAGTATCTAATTTCAGCCACGTAATATAAATCAGGGCTGCCATACACTGGAATAAATACAATTAATTAGATCATAACTTATTTAATAGCTAAGGGAGTTTGCTAAACTTTAAAATCTAAAATTAGTTTTAGATTTTAAAGTTTAGCAAAAGATGTACTAGCTTTTCTCTCTGACATTCGGCGTATATTAAGAACACTTTTTGTACTCAATTATTGTTTGAAAAAGAAGAAAAAACTAGCAATAAACAATATACTATATTTAAGCACAAGACTATAACTTAGTAATACTAATTATAACTTAGAACATAAATGAAAAACTCATAACTGACTTTTTGGTCCGATCCGGGATTCGATCCCGGGACCTCATGATCAGCAGTCGCACTACTACAACCACTAGACCAACGAGGCAATACTATACCTAATAAGATATTGTGGTTGGGTATTAGGATTATTTTTAACTGTATACTATACTGATAATATTGAATTAGCCTTTTATAGTGTAAATTATAATATTTGTCGAAATGTTAATTATGGATTCGAACCTTACATGCGTATGTGCATATGCAATGGTGCTTTTTTTTTATTTGCATTTACTCCAAAGAAAATACACGCAAAAAGCTTCATCGCGCAGTAAAAAACACAACAAATATATGTATAACTAATACGAAAAATTATACCCAAAACAAACAAATAATACTATCTATAAATAACCTAATAAGTAATAATAATCAGCGAGCATGTGCGCTGGCTGACGTCGTGACAAACGACACGAGTTTCACCTTCAAGAGCTGGGCGCTTCCTGTATTATATATTAGTCTATGTGGGCGCTCACTGATCCCAGCAAGCCCGTGGGCAGTGTACAACTCTGTGTAAAAAGTATCGGGAATATGTCAATAAAAAGACCCGCGTAAAAGAGGTCGTTCTAATTTTTTTACTGCATGTTGGTAGCACTGTACTGATTTAGCGCGCAAAGTTTGAGCGGGATCTGTCATTTAATTTGTTTTAAACTACACTTTTTGTTGGTCATAGTTTTGAGTTCTCGGCGATTTTTACAATGGAAAATATTGTTGAACAAAGAGTGTGCCTTAAATTTTGTGTTTCGAATGATATTTCATGTGGTGAATCACTAAAAATGTTGCGAAATACCTACGGCGAATCGTGTATATCGAAAACAAGGGCTTATGAATGGTATAAGGCTTTTAAAGAAGGCCGAGAAGTAGTAGTAGACTTGCCTCGTTCTGGTAGACCTTCAACCGCTACGACCAAAGAAAACATCGACAAAATCAAGAAGCTAGTGCTCGAAAATCGACGTATGAGTCTGAGAGAGTTGGCTAGTGAGGTGAACATGTATTTTAAGTCCGTCCACAACATTCTCATTGACATTTTAGGCATGAAATGCGTCGCCGCTCGACTAGTTCCAAAAGAGCTCAACTTTGTTCAAAGAGCGCAGCGAAAGCATGTCGCTGAAGACATGGTTTCCCGAGCTTTTTTACGGATCCGACCTTTATGAAACGTAAAAAATTCAACAAAAGTTCTCCACCAAGCACCGTATTCACCTGATATGGCTCCGTCTGACTTTTTTTTATTTCCCAAGTTAAAATACCACTTCGAGGAAAACGTTTTGAGTCGATAGAAGCCATAAAAAACAATTCGCTGAATGAGCTAAAGGCCATACTGCAAATAGCCTATGAAAAATGTATGGAAGACTGGGTGAAGCGTTGGAGATGTTGTATTGCAAGCGATGGGGCCTACTTTTAAGGCGATAAAATAAATTTAGATGAATAATTTGTATTTTTTGTTTTATTGACAAATTCCCGATATTTAGTACACAGAAGTATACGCCCAGTTTATAAAATAATTTCTTACCAAATCAAATTTTGGTCTTTTGAAAAAAAAATTATGATAGAAATGTCATTAATAAATTGCCTATCCATTGGAGTAAAATATAAATACGTAAAATAAATTAATACTTACTTTACGAGGAGATGCATGTTATCAATAATTATATCACATTTATGTGGTTTCGTTGTAAGGAGATTATTTTAATATTCATTCCTTTAAAAAAAATTGGATATGACTCTTATGGAATCAAGATTATGTAGAAATATAATGTGGTTTTTATTAGTTGATATATCTTTTAAATAAAAAGTAGATAGCTCCTAAAACGACTAACGACTAACGACTATCGCGGCATTTTGCTCAACCTGCGCCTTAAGTGCGGCAGCTCACCGGCAGTAGACAATATTAAATTATTTATTTTTCCGAAATCCGCAATCTGCACCACAGACTAGGTAGAGAAACTGACGTTTCTCTACCTAGTCTGTGACTGGTCTGCACTCTGCAACTCTGCAGTAAAGAACATTTTGCGGTACGTATTTAATCTATTCACTTCAAGTTCTAACCTTAAAGAGTTAACTCTTTATCCAACTTATAAAGGTTATTTCTCATAACCATCTATAAACAGATTATTGGTTGGTAAACCACTGGGACTACTTTGATAATATTCGTATTTAATAATAATATTTTTCGGTTTCAGCTGTACATTGTGGGCGAAATATTTGTTTCCTGCCGCTTGCTACATATTTATTTATCTATGTTTCCTGCCAAAGAGTAGTATACTAGCTTTCCAGGCAAACAGCTAGCTTTTCCAGAAAAACAGAATGCTGTGTGAAAAACATTTTAATGATGGTGATTTCACTAATGCTTCCAAGAAATGTACAACCAAAAAGATGATTTTATTGAAGGGTATCAGGATCATGGTACAATGGTACCCACTATTTCTCCAGTGCATTTTCAACTGCAAATAGACTTGCTGTACTAATGAAAGAGGTAGTTTATAGTACTTTATATGATTTTTTATTTTCTTTAAATATCTCAAAAAGTTGACTAAACAATCTCAACAGCAGTAAACTATATTTGATTTTTAATTTCAGGTCTTAAATCAGTGCTTTCAGGCTGGGATAAATATATCTACAACAGTCTGTGACATGGATCGAGTAAATTGGCGAGTTCTGTCTATTTTGGGTGCAAATATGCAACAACCCTATTTTACATTCCCCAACAAAGAAATAGTCACACTTTTTGATACACCACGTTTGTTAAAGCGTTTTTGAAATTTATTTATGGAATATGACATTCAGTGCAGAACAAATATTTCATCTGGTAGTGATATTGGAACAGGCAATTTGAAGAGTAGTTCTGCATTTTATATAAATTATTTGACAAAGCTTGTTGCAAAATTTTACATAAAAATCTAGTCACCTAAATTAATAAACTAAAATAAATTATAAGAAATTATATAAAGAAACATTTTAAGTGTTAATTCAGGGATATAAATAGACAACCAAATATTGTTAAAATTAGTTTATAAGTTTTTACACTGCCAGGTGCAATGCAAGAGCTTATTTATTAATTAAGTTGTTTGAGAAAAATATATATAATATCAATTCATTCATGATTGTAAATTATATATAATATTATTTTTATCATTGTTTTACACAGGTAATTGAAATATTGTGATAAATATTGAATTTTATTTTCTTGTTTAAACTTATCTAATGACTGTAGATAGGACTAAGTTGTTGGAGAAATTTTGTCTTCCGTCTGTTGTGTTATAGTATTATGCATGTTCGAGAAATGTATTTTTGTACCTTAGAACCACCTGCTATTAGGTAGCCAGCATACAAAACTACTGGTCGCGTCGGCGATGCCGCATGTATTGTGGTCACATTCCATCAGGACTGTAATACTAAGTCTACAAGACAGACATTGTAGGCTTATTATTACGGTCCTGATAACATCCTTTGGGTCCAGACTTATAAAAAGAAAAGTTATGAGAAAAGGTGGTACATGCTTTCATATCTTTTTCTCATATAGGTAATTAGTGGGTAGAACATGTTGTGGAAGGGAAATTACTTGTCATTTCTATAATTTATACCTAAAACACCAGTTTGTAAAGTACTTTTTTTAAGTTATGTATATTTTTTAATTTTAATTTGTATTTTGGATAAATAAATAGAAAACTGTAATTTATTGTTCTTTTATTCAGCGCTGGGATAGGCAACCCAAAAAAATACCTCAAATAACCCCCAAAAAAAAGAGCAACGTTCGAATTTTCCCGCCACGAAAATATTGCAGGTGGGCCGACTATAGATGGTGCTAGTGGGTATGTTCATTTTATTTTATATGAAGTTGGCATTCTTCTCCGTAGGAGTAATAGTGTTCTATCTGTGCACTAAGTAGTCTGTGGTTTCTATATAGTTTGTGATAGCATGCTACATATATATTTATCTATGGTTTGTGATTTGAAGTTTGAACTTTGAACATAAAAAGAGAGTTTTGGCGGGAAATTGACCGGCGGCAGTTTGCTGCTCCTGTATTATTGTTTAAATAATGGTTTGAAGTGGACTTTGATATGTAAAAGTGGTGCGATTTTGTGTATTAAGTGTCTACGCAAGTGAACTATTAGTGGAAACAGTGAAACAAGTGCTCTGATGGTGATGGATTCTCAAGACAAGCTGTTTGTTTGCATAGGCGCCTTTAGATACCATCACCAACTGTCAGCTGTCTGCTGGATCAAGTTGCCGTCAAAATTTCTCAAGAACTGCACAATGTGACGCATCAACATATTGTGAAGCAGTGAACTATGAAGGAAGGAAGGCTGTATGGCATAATTCCTTTGCCTGCTCTCTCGAGCGAATAATAAAAACAACAACAATTGAACATAAAAATAAAATAGTAAACCATAGTAAACATTATAAGTGAAGACAAAAACCTGTATTAAAATACTATTTTTTATCATCGCATCAGTGCTTAATAAACGTTTATTGTTTAACTATAAAACGCATTATGAAGCGTAGCGGTGGTGACAATGAATACGTAAGTTTTACAAATATATGACAAATTGTCCTATCCAAAGAAATATAAATACCATTTAAATAATATTGGTAGAGAAAGAGTCACGTTGTACGTTTTTAAGGCCGCAGTAATATCACATATCCACTTATACAAGTTATCTATGTTATCCACTTTGCTTGGCAGCAATTGCATTAGATAAGAGTCGTAGTTTATAAGAGTTATTTTACTATGTGGGGCGTCTCGACTCTGAAAGGATATCACTCGCATAGGCTTGAACCAGAGAGTAATATATTCTTTAGTCATTTAAATAAGAGTGCTGCTCATTCATTTCATTATTTGTTTCGTGTGGTGGGTGACGAGAATCGGAGGCACTTCTTATCGGTATCGAGGCATCCCATCCATAAGTGTCGTCAATCGTCTGCATTCTGATCCTAAATTAAGAATAGATGTAGGTTTCTATAGATCACTGCATCCATTTACTATCAGGTAGATTAAAAGCCCATTCGTCACCCTTACTTCTATAAAAAAAAAAACTAGCTAATGATAGTATTTATTTTATGTAATTTGTTCCATAAATATAGTCCTTTTGGCAGAATCCCTGGAGGACCTAAGCAATGACCTCAATAGTGTCTCCCAATGGATAGGTCTTAAGATGAACATGGTCAAAATAAAGATCATGTGTAATGACCATATCACACATATGCCAGTAGTTGTTAGGAACACTAAGCTTGAAGTTGTTGATGAGTATGTTTACCTGGGACAAATAGTCCAACTAGGTAAGTCCAACTTTGACCGAGAGGTCAATCGATGGATCAACTCAGCTGGGCAGCGTTTGGGAAATCACGACACATCTCGTCAGGTATACCTCAAAACCTGAAAATGATACTGTAAAACCAGTGCATGTTACCAGTGATGACTTATGGATCTGAGATGTGGTCCTTCACTGCTGACCATATGAGGATGCTCAAGGTTGCTCAGAGAGCTATGGTGAGAGCATGGGGTTTCTCTGGGTGGTAAACTTAGAAATGAGGATATTCATAGTAGAACTAGAGTGACTGACATAGCCCAATGGATTAGTATGCTGTAGTGGCAATGGCCTGACCATATAGCTTGAAGAACCGACGACCTATGGGGAAAAAAGGTTCTCGAGTGGCAGCCTCGTAAAGGTAAGCAAAAGGTAAAGTGACTCCCCACTAGATGGAGTGACGACCTGGTAAGACATGCAGGAAGTCGATGGCTGCAGGTGGCTCAGGAGTGTGCTTTGTAGCATTTCTTGGATGAGGCCTATGGTCAGCAGTGGACTTATAAAGGGTTGTAATGATGGAATTTGTTCCATATTACAAAATTCATTAATGCTCTGTTTAACTGTATTTGAAGCTTTTTGATGTTAACTCGATAGATGATAGTTTTTTTTTAATTTATTTGTGGCCAAAACACCGCTATGTCTTGTAATACAAACTTAATATGCTATTTAAGTAGTAACAATGTCGTAATTCAAAATATTCCTTAATTATGGAACCATGAAGTTGACTAAAAAACACATAGCTGACATAAAGAATCAACGCTCTGGGAAATCTGCACGCTGTAAACAAACATACCACAAATCTACCCAAAACAACTGATTCCTTCCAATAATTATGTACAAGGGTATTGAAATCAAAAAATATCATAACTTCAATAGTGAAGATGGATAAGTGCTACCAACTGCTTGGGATTCTTCTTTCTACAATTGAAAAATTAAATCCCAAACCAAGCATACTTTGCAGGACTTCGAGATACCATAAACTCATTCTGTACGTAGAATGGGGTAATGGTATTTTGAAGTTGTAGTAAGTAAAATTTCTAAGTAGTTGTAAGTAACCTGATCTACTGAACGGACCAAAAATTAAAAAAATTAAACGAAGGTAGCTGTGGTTAAAATTATGACATTGATATGTCGAATGTCTTCTAGGGACTACCCTCTGACCATGGCCACTGTTAATCACTTGAAACATTGGCAGTATCAAATAATTTGATAAAATGTGCAATAAAATCTGTGATACTAAATTCATTCAACATCATCTTTCTCTCTATTGTTTTAGGACGAACCTGAACACTTAAGAAAATTATTTATAGGTGGTTTAGATTATCATACAAATGACAATGCATTAAAAGAATTCTATGAGCAGTGGGGAGAAATTGTAGATGTTGTTGTTATGAAAGACCCTCAAACTAAGAGATCCCGAGGATTTGGTTTTATAACATACTCTCGAGCACATATGGTAGATGATGCTCAAAACAATAGGCCACATAAAATAGATGGGAGGTAAGCATTGTTTTTACTAAAATTAATAACAATTTTAAATTTTTAATAATTCTTTAAAATTACACTTTTTTGTTTACACATAATTGTTTTGTGAAACTAAGAAAAAGTTCTATGGTTAAAGTTTTAATTATTGATTTTGTTTAAAAAGTTTTGATTACTCTTTTCGAAGAATTCTCCATGACCATCTAAGAATGTTCGAAACTTTTTCTAGTCTGCCTCTTCAATGGCCTGCTCCATCAATGCTAAGCGTATCTTCTGTTGATGACAACTGTATTGTTTTTAGCCGATTTTATTTTAGGGAATAAAAATGTACTGAATAGGGGCCGTAAAGAGTGTACTTAAAATGGTACTGCTCATTTAGCACTACCCAGGGATTGTAATATATTGGAAATAGATTTCTGAGTAAAATTTAAATATGTATCAACCTTAATATGTCCCACAGATATCTCATATCTAAGAGGATTTTGTATCAGGGAAGAGTCTGCTTTGCTACCTCAATATATGTTCGGGTACTTAATATTATTTATTTAATTGCGGATTTTAAATTAATTCTTTAGCCATTACGCCCTATTAAAGTACACTGCTGAACATAGGTCTCCCCCATAAAATGTCTCATACGGGCGATATTTGCCATAGTTGCCATCCTTGGAAAGCGGTTTGACAACTGCAGTTTTTTATTTTTAGTTATTATTAGGTTTTTAATAGGCATTATTTATACATTTATTAGACACTTTACTTGGCGGTAGGACTCCTTTTCTGCCTAGGACTGGGTAGGTACCGCACTCTTACCCATTACGTCCAAGGAATAGCAGAGCTTGTATTGCTATTTTCTGCTCTGAGGTGTATAGAGGAACAGTATAATTAAAGGCTATGAGGCATGCCATCTTATTCCTCAAGGATGACAGTGCACCTGTAGCCTTCTTTGTATGAAGTTGGCTGCAGGTCTTCATGTACTGCTGTAAACACTTACCATCAGGTAGACTGTAAGTTCATTTGTCATTTCAGTTTTATAAAAAAAAAACATGTAGCTTATCCGAGTTTATGTGGTTATTTGATAAATTTTTACTACCTTTCAGAGTGGTAGAACCTAAGAGAGCAGTTCCTAGAGAAGAAATAAAAAGACCAGATGCTAGTGCTACTGTAAAAAAATTGTTTGTTGGAAATTTGAAGCAAGACATTGAAGAGGAAGATCTAAGAAATTATTTTTCACCTTATGGTAACATTGTGTCTGTGAGCATTGTTACTGAAAAGAGTACTGGCAAGAAAAGAGGGTTTGGTTTTGTTGAGTTTGATGATTATGATCCAGTTGATAGAATATGCTGTAAGTATAACTTTTAACAATGAGCTTGTCCTTCTTTATTAGACTTGACCACCAAATAAATGATGGCAGTGAAATATTTTTATAATTATTCATGTCATAAGTATGTAAAGAAATGTCTTCACTACAATTTCTTCATTATTATAAGGTTAATTCACATTTATAAGGGTATTAGCATTTGGTGGCAATTGAATTTTTACACTAGTGCCCCAGAAGAAAGGTTATATTTTTTATTATTTTAAGGTTATTATTTCTAAGATGCATGTATGTTATTTGTCTGTCCCTTCATGACCGTGTTGCTAGCCTAAACGCTGATGGAAAGTTTATGACGAATTATATGTAGGTATATGTCGCAGGTTTATGGTAAAATCAGGTTTTAGATCAAAACCCAGCTAGGCATTTGATCAACAACCAGAAGAAGACAAAATTAATACTTTTTATTATCATAAACCTGAGAAAATCCAGTTTTTTGATCATAAACCTAAACAAGTTCAGGTTTTTGATCAAAAACAAGATTTTTTCAGGTTCATGATAAGATTTATAAGCTGTTTGACAAACACGCACCTATTCGTGACGTTAGGTTAATACGTTCGCCTGCGCCATGGATTACTGAAAATATCCGTAAGGCTATGTCTAAGCGCGATCAGATGTTTAGGAAATTCAAGCAGAACCGTTGTGAACTCAACTGGACAAAATTCAAAACTACGAGAAATCGATGTAATCAGACGGTACGCTAAACGCCGCTATATTCACGATAATATCATGAACTCTTCTATGGCTGATACATGGAAATTTCTCTGGACGATTGGGGTCGGTTGACCTACGTGTAACATGGACGAATTTTATTGTTGTTTTATGGTTGATTATAGCAACGGCAGGTTAGGGACTAATAGTTTGTTGGAAATTTCATAGTACGCGAGCAAACCTGACTCAATTACTGCTGGAACCAATAAAATAATTGTACATAGCAATTTTAAGTGCTGATACTATTAAATAATTCTAGGTGGTAGAACCCCTTTTCTATAGTATAGTTGGTTCCGGCCCTATAGAGCCGATCCTCCTCTAGCCAGTTCGATTTCCTCTGGATCCACTGTGTCCCTTTATCCATTGCAGAGTCAGATTGTTGTGTTTACATACCTCATTTAATTGTTGATGGCATTCATATATTAGTCCCAAGTTCACCACAATGCAACTCAGAGCTTGTAGTACCGCCCTACTGTGGGTTAGTATTCTGATGGAGAAGTCTTTAACCTTCCTAGCATTTATTGCTATGGCCGCTTGAATGATACCCATACATTCCACCTGAAAGATTGTGTTGTAGGTACCCAGCTATGTGCATATGTGGATATTGAGGTCTTCAGAGAAAGTTCCAGATCCTACACTTTCATTTGTTTTAGAACCATTGGTGAAAACTCTTAAGTTCTATTGGGCTTAATCCTTCTAGCTGGCTAGTCTCATTTAATTGTATCTTGTTGAATACAAGTTGTTTAGAGATTTTATTGTACTTGGCTTATAAGATAGGAATTTTTGAGTGAATTCCATCAATTATGCCTGTATGAGGGACTCTATGCTTACTCCAAAGATTTAGGGTCTTGAGTCTAATGGCAGCTAAAGTCACTTCTTGTTGTATGTGTAGATGAAGCGGGGTTAGCGTCAGCATCGTCTCTAAGGTGTATCCTTATGCAGCTTGTGGCAGCCATACATGTCAGTCTCTGGTAACGTTGAAGCATCTTTATAGTGGTGGCTTCATTTGTCTTGGTCTACCATACCAGTACGCCGTATGCGATAATGGGCCGAATTACAGTTTTGTACAGGCAGAGTATGATTTTTGGCGTCAGACCCCATCTTTTGCCAATTATGTTTCTGCATTGCCAGAAAGTTATACTAGCTTTGTTGACTTTGTTTTCTATGTGTTTATTCCAGTTGAGTTTACTGTCCAAGGTAATACCTAAATATTTTACCTCAGGGGATAGCTGAATTTTATGCTGAAAAGACTTGGGAGATGATAGTTATACAGCATTCGTTTTTGTGTGAACATTACTAGGACCGTTTTATTTAAATTAACGGTTAAGATAATTAATAGAATCAGTCGTTACTTTGCGGAAATCCATTATAATGGGGTTGTTATAAACTAATTTGCTTAATTCCGCGTAAAGAAAGAAAATGATGTGTCCTGCCCAGTTTTAAGGGGGCCTCGCTCAATCGTGCGCACTATTCCCGTCGCCATGAATCCCAGCACTACCACCCCCCAGCACCACCACACTAGGCACGACACACCACTCTCGAAAATACGACACGTGTTTCGCCTCTACACGAGGCATCCTCAGGTGAAGTAGACTTTGCGGAGGCTGTCCGCTAAAACTGGGCAGGACACATCATTTTCTTTCTTTACGCGGAATTAAGCAAATTAGTTTATAACAACCGTTAATAATGGGGTTGTTATAAACAACAACCCCATTATTAACGGTTAAGTCGTATTCCCTGCACCATCTCTCCACTATATGGAGAGCCGCTTGGGTTAGGTTGCACACGTGCTTGCTGTCTTGTCCAGTGTGTGAGAGCAGTATTGTCAGGTCATCAACATAACCTACTGTGTAGAAGTGATTGGCATTTAATTTGCTGATGAGTTCATTAATGACCATATTCCTCAGGAGAGGTGAAAGAACCCCACCCTGCGGGCAGCCTTTCTTAATCTGGATTGATTGAGATTTACCAGCAATATTTATTGCTTGTATACACGTATACAGTCAATTAGTGCCGGTTCAACTTTATGTCTACTGAGTGCACCTTTTATGCTGGAGCACCTTCGAAAGCACCTTCTATATCTATGAATGAACCTTGACATATTACTTTGTTTTGGATGGCCTCTTCAATCTTTGTTATTACCTGGTGAAGTGCCGATTCTGTCGATTTACCTAAGCTGTAGGCGTGTTGTTTGGCGTGTTGTTTGTCGTGTAGCGGTAAGTTAATTAACACCGACCCCCTTAATTCCCTTTGACACATCCTCTCCATCATCTTTAGAACAAAGGATGTGAGTGATGTGAAAAAATAATTTAGGGTCTGTATAGTCGCTCTTACCTGGTTTGGGTATGAATGTGACTTTTACTTCTCTCCATCCCCTAGGAACATATTTAAGAGCCAGACAGGCTCTAATTATGGCAACAAGTCTGACTATTAGGAGCCACTGTAGGAGTGCCGGGAATATGCCGTCAGGTCCTGCCGCCTTATAGGGGAGGAAACTGGATGGCCCAATGGATTTTATCCGTCGTTATCACTCTCTGTGCTAAATTCCAGTTTTCTTCTGTTTATGTCAGTGTATCTTCTTGCCGGTTTACCTAATGAGTTACGCTGCAACCTGGGAAGTGCGTTTCAATTAAGATGCGTTGGATTTCGTCCGCCGATGTTGAGTAGCTTCCGTCGGGTTTCTTTAAAGAGATGGATCCCGGCGTGTTCTGTTTAGCTAGGATATTCATTATCCTATTCGCTTGTCCGCAGGTTTCTATGTTGCCACAGAATTTACGCCACCCTGTCGAGCGTCGATACCTGATACATTTTTTGTATTCGGACTTAGCTTCCTTGAATAAAGACTTACTGGCTACTATAGCCAGTCTTTATTCATTGAAGTATTCATAGCCCTTATCCCTAGAGAGCCCTAGCTTTTCTTACCTTCTTACGTTTTTTATCTAGTTCTTTACCCCACCACAGTTGCTTTACCTCAGTATGCCTTGGTGGAGTGATTTCTGGACATGATTCATGGTAGCTATCTATCATAGCTTTAGTAACAGCTGCTACCTGTTCTTCTAGGAGCGACTGATCTATAGTATTTGTCTCCTCAAAACTTGCGAGCGAAAACGTCAGCCTATTTAGGTATTTTGTTTTATCCGTCTTGCGGGGATTTCCCCATCGTGGTGTAGCGGGGGGGATATCGACCTGTACTAGGAAGCAGATCCGTCTATGGTCTGAGAATGAGGCCTCTTTCGACACATGCCATCCCGTAATTAGTTTAGCTGTTCCTTGTGTTGCAAGTGTGAGGTCGATTATTGTGCGATAACGTGTGTTTATGAAAGTTGGTTCAGAACCTGTATTTAAAACCCATAACCTTACCTTGTTCATTGGATTTTTCCATATCGCAGGTTGATGTGATGGTGTGCAAAAGGTTGAAAATGACACTATTGAAAGATGATATTTATTATTAATATCAATTTTTTTGCAATATAATTTTTTTTAACAATTGTGCTATATTGGCATATCAAACTGAAAATGTGTAGACATATTTTGTTTTGATTTAAAGCAATAATTTTTAAGTTTATTTTAGATATATCAGGTAATATAAATGATTTTGTACGTCACAATTTTTAAGTCCCAATCTACCAAAATTCTTGTTCATGACCCAGTAAAAATCCATTGCTGGACACGGGTCTGTCCTCCCATTGTAAAGAGGTTTTATGTTAATCATCACGCTTGGCAGGCAGACTTGCGATCGGAGGATCGAGATTTTTCAAACATTTGACAGTGCTCTCCATTGAAAGTGTGAGGTATTGACAAGACAAGACAAAAGGGTAATAACGACATCTTTAGGAAGCCATATTATACTACACATATAAATTTAAGTTTGTGTTCAAATTCTAGATTGTATTTGAATATCAGTCTAAGTCTTCCATGTATTGTTATCATTTTAGTCTACGTTTTTACATTTACATATTTCATAAGTACATATCTCTACAGTAGAAAATAATCACAAGATCAAAGGTCGTCATCTGGATGTTAAAAAGGCCTTACCAAAGTCTGAGATGGCATCTAGTGGTGGTTCTAAAAATGACGGAGGTAGTGGTAGACGTGGCGGCCGTGGAGGTGGGGGATGGGCTAACCGTCAAGGTGAACAGGATTGGGGTATGAGTTTTTAGATAAAAAAATTAAGTTTTCCCCCCTTTTCACCCCAAGTACGGTTCTGTTGAACTGTACTTGGGGTGGAAAGGCGGAACAACAATCAAAAAGCGAATTCCGACTATACACCCCGTCTAGGGTGGATAAACGAACACCCGTTTCCGAGTATCCACCCTAGGGTGGATAAACGGAATAACCGCTCAATTTCAATATTGTGTATTACTATATATTTAACATAAGTATTAAAGCTAATAATCAAAACCATATTAGCATTAGTTATGTACAATAAGGCAGTTATTGTCTAAGATAAGTATTAAAGCTAATAATCAAAACCATATTAGCATTAGTTATGTACAATAAGGCAGTTATTGTCAAAGATTAGTATTAAAGCTAATAATCAAAACCATATTAGCATTAGTTATGTACAATAAGGCAGTTATTGTCTAAGATAAGTATTAAAGCTAATAATCAAAACCATATTAGCATTAGTTATGTACAATAAGGCAGTTATTGTCTAAGATAAGTATTAAAGCTAATAATCAAAACCATATTAGCATTAGTTATGTACAATAAGGCAGTTATTGTCTAAGTAATGATTTTCTTCAAGCATGTTCCATATAGATAATAGGAATATGGGTGACAAACGAGCAAATAGTCCACAGACAAGTAAATGTTGTGGCCCATATACTTACATATATCTATCATGACTTAAGAATCAAAATACAAATGCGTTATCACCCCTGAGGACTAAGATGGAAAATCTCAATACCGGTAAAAAGGGTCTAGTTCATTACACTCACCATATGAAACCTGATCTCATGTGAGCGAGTGGTCCTTCCTCGTTTGAACCAACCTATTTGTGCTGCAGTTACAGTTAAAGCGTAAAAATACTCGTATTATGTAGAGCAGGGGTTCCTAAACTTATAAGATATCGGAATTCCCACTAAATACCTTTTATTTTATGGAACCCCATATCAAATGATTACAAATCGAAGACACTGTTATTTAAATAAGAACATAAACTTTTATTAGAAATATTTTAAAAGTAAAACACTATATTCTTTACTTTAACTTTTAATGTGACGAATGAAATTGTTTCACTGTCTTATCAATAATTGCTTTATAGTTCGGTTTTATATGTGACAGTTGACTTTTCTACGGAACCCCTAGGTTTGGCTGATGTAGAAGAGCATCTATTCTACTCATTGATAGGTTTTTTCTGATCACCTTAAAAAGTTTGCTTTTAGAAAAAATGCGAAATTGAAATGTCGCCAGGTCATGCGAATAGCGAGCGATGTGAGACGCGAAAGTGGATCATTAAGTGAATTAGCTTATTTTTACCATCGCCAAAATAGATTATTCATCTAGATTATCTATTTAGTAAGAACAACATTTATTTGATTTACGAGGGCGACACTGAAAGTTTTTAGAACTAGCCACTTGTAAGCAATATAAAACAAAAATAAGTTCAAATTTTGAAAATGGAACTCTTTGCCAATATTATTGTGTCATGTATTTTATTAATTTGTCATTTGTTTACAGTTTGGCGGCAAATTGAAAATTGTCTGTCACGTCAGCATGAATTTAACGCGAGAATTTTTCATACAATGATTTTTTATGACTTTTGATGTCATTTAAGTCAACAAGAAAGTTATGATAGCTTCGATTCGCCTTTCACGATGAAGCCCCATCTCGTGCCACTGTTTACAACTGGTTTAATGAGTTTTAACGTGGTCACACTAATCGCACCGATGATCTGCGTGATGGACGGTCTTCTACGGAGACGACTTTTTTTTATAGGAGAGGGGGCAAACGAGCATGCGGCTCACCTGATGGTAAGTGACTACCGCCGCCCATGAACAACCGCAACACCAGGGGAACTAGGGGAATAGCAGATGCGTTGCCGGCCTTTTAAAAAGGAGTAGGCTCTTTTCTTGAAGGTCCCTAAGTCGTATCGGTCCGGAAAAATCGCTGGTGGTAAATTATTCCACAAGGAAGTTGTGCGAGGAAAAAAACTTCTTCTAAATCGCATAGAGGTGGACCGCCAATCATCCAGATGGTGTGGATGGTATCGGGAGTTCTGCCGCGATGTGCGTTCGTGAAATTTGGTGGCTGGGATTAATCCGAACAATTCCTCAGACCACTCGACGTGGTAAATGCGAAAGAAAATGCAAAGAGATGCAACATCTCTTCGCAGCTCCAATGAATCGAGACGATCGGAAAGGACTTGGTCGTCGACGATTCGAGCCGCTCTGCGCTGGATGTGGTCAAGTGGAAGGAGGTGGCACTGGGGAGCCCCAGCCCAGAGATGGGAACAGTATTCCATGTGAGGCCGAACCTGCGCCTTGTAAAGTTGCCGGCATTGTGCCGGCATGAAATACTGTCCCACTCTGCTGAGCACGCCAAGCTTTTTAGAGGCCAATTTGGCCTTCTCTTCCAAGTGACCACGAAACTACACGTCACTCGATATGTCGACGCCGAGGATTGCGATACTGGCTGAGGCAACAAGGGGAGTGCCTTGAAACTGAGGAGATACGACAAAGGTGTTCTTTTTAGCGGTAACGCGCAAACTTGTGTCTTCTGAGGATTAAACTGGACTAGATTTTGTCGCCCCCAATCCGAGACTTTGTTCAGCAAAGACTCGACTTCAGACACAAGTTTGTTCCGGTACCTACTCGGCGACGTTTTCCCGAGAAATATTGGCTCGGCCGGTGTATAGAGCATCACTAGTGCTGTCATCCGCATAGCAATGAATGCTACCGGTTTACAAAATATCATTGATATGCAGAACAGCGTTGGTGATAGCACGCAGCCTTGTGGAACACCAGCGTACTGAAGATAACATAACATAACAACTGAAGATAACATCAGCGTTGTGCGGCGTATGATACAGAATGACAAAAGAGTGACTTATCAGCAGATTCGGACAAGCTTAGGCATCGGTATGAGTCAAGTGCACAAAATTCTCCATGAACATTTAGCGGTCAGGAAGCTTTGTGCCCGGTGCATACCTCATAATTTGACAGAGGCCCAAAAACTTCGTCGTGTTGATTGTGTCGTGAAATGGTTCAGAGATTTAACGGAGGTGACTCAAATGCTGTGTTTGACATACTTACGGATGACGAAAGCTGGATTTATTGTTATGATCCTGAACCTAAGAGACAGTCTGATGTCTGGGTGTTTCCTTCCAAGGAGTTGCCAACTAAAGTGAAGAGAGTTCGAAGCGTGGGAAAAAAGATTGTGGCCTCGTTCTTCGGAAGGACAGGTCATTACGCAACAATTGTTTTAGAGGATCGAAAAACAGTTACTGCAGAGTGGTACACTAACAATTGTTTGCCACTTGTCTTCGAAAAAGTTCGGGAGAAACGACTTCGCAGTAGGATCCTCCTTCACCACAACAACGCCTCGTCGAACATCGCCAAGCAAACAATCGACTACTTGGCGACGTCAAACGTGGAATTACTGGGTCAACCGCACTATAGCCCCTCGCATCTTGTGATTTTTATTTTATTTATTTCCGAAACTTAAAGAAAAACTTCGAGGAAAACGTTTTATGGACGCCGAGGAAGTAGTGGCTACGTTTCAAAATGGCGTCAAAGAGACCCCCAAGGACGAGTGGGCAGTGCTTTTCTCAGTGGTTCCATCGGATGCAGCGATGTATTGATGTAAATGGACACTATTTTAAAAAGATATAATAAAACTAGTAACTTGCTAGTTTGTTCATTTTTCATTTTCTAAGAACTTTCAGTGTCATCCTCGTATCGATCTAATCAGATTATTCTTCTTTTATAATTTGTCATTATGTAGTTACCTATATTTAGAAAATTATAGTTATAAAATGTAGTAGACACAGTTGTTCACAAAAAATACTATTAACTATAATGTTTTTTAGGATATGGAGAGGAACGTGGTTGGGGTAACCAGAATCCTTGGGAATCTAATGACTCCCAGGGAAATTGGGGCAGTCAGGATTATGTTGATGAGAGTTGGCCACAGCGAGACAATTTTGGGGGTGGATATCAGCAAAGCTATGGCGGCGGCCCTATGAGATCCAACTATAATGCGCAGCGACAGCAACCTTACAATAGTGGTAAAAATTGTTGACTTTCAAATGGTCAATGTTGAATAAAAATGTTATGATTTTGAGATATTTCGGAAGTGAGTCTTGTCGTCGTCTAGTGGTGGCGTAGGAGAATCCATCGTCACGTTTTGTGCCATGGATGCATTTAAGAGATAATCCAAAAATATGTTATGGCTTCCAATGGGTGGCGCTATAACTATCTCCTAAAATACTAACCAGACGTAAAATACTCAAAAGCAGCAGCGTCATAAATGCGAGACGTCTAAGTACTGGTAGCATGTGTATTTTTTTATAGTATAGGGTGACAAACGACCACACAGTCCACCTGATGGTAAGTGGCTGCTGTGGCCCATAGACATTTACATTTATCCTCATTTGCGAATCAAAATACAGATGCGTTGCCACCCGTGAGGACTACGATGGAATGCCTCGTTTCCAGTAAAAAGGGTCTCCGGTTCTCTACACTCACCATACGAAACAGCAGCGTTAAGCTGCTATTTTACGCTGCTATTCTGTGAGAGCGTGGTCCTTCCCCGGTCGAGCCGACCCATTCGTGCTACAACTATACTGCTAATATAGCTGCAGCATGGCTCTACCACGTAAAGCCATGCTGCATATACATTTAGTTTTCACGGCTGACAACGCATCTGCATTTTAATTCGCAAACGAAGATAGATGTAGATGTTTATGGGCAACAGTAACCACTTGCCAGGTGGACTGTGTGCTCATTTGTCACCCTTATTCTATAAAAAAATTTACGACCATGGTTATCAAAGAATAAAACTTAAAGTCTGACATTTAAAAGTTCATAATATCTGAATAGGTATTATTCATGTTCGTCAAATTTTAGGTGGCGGCGCTAGGCAGGGATTCAATGCTATAGGGAATTCTTCATCTGGTGGAAATCTGAGACGTTATTAATACCTCCAGATGTGATATCCTCTTGTAAGTATCATGTTTTATTCGTATAATGTAAAAATACGATTACTCTCCACACGACAATATTAGCACTCGTCCATATTATAAAGGTTTTCATTTAAAAGTTTCATCAGTTTATTTCCTACCGACTTCAAAAAGAAGACGATACTCAAGTCGACTGTATGTTTTTTTTATATTTGTGTTACCTCATAACTTTTTACTGGTTGAACCGATTTCGATGATTCTTTTTTTATTTGAAAGCTGGTGCTTCTCATGAGGTCCCATATAAATTTGATCAAGGTCTGACCAATGGTTTTTGAGTTATTCTTAATAATTCATATTGAAGTTTATATAGAAGAAATTGTATAAAATTTTCAATTTTAAATTATTTAAATATTTTAACGCTGATTTAAGTTATATTAAATGAAAATATAATATTGTAATTCTTTAAAAAAACCTGTCAGTGGCTTCTGAAGATGTTTATTAATAAAAGAGGAAAAATATGAACTTACGAAACCCGTTTTACGAAAAAAAGATTGGGTTCTGAATTATTTGAACGAATGAATGTTTAAATTAGTTTTAATTTGTAAAACACACTTGTGGAGAGGCTACAAAAAGAAAATATGAATATGCAGAGTTCGATCTAAGACTATAAGGAAGAAACCGCCATAATCGTTTACCTCATTTTCCTATCGTGTAATGAGGGAATTTTTGTCAAGTTAGTCTTTTGGCTTGTAATTACGAAACTATCGGAATTACTAAAATTAATGTCGGCTGCATAGCGAATCAAGCGTAGGGAACGTAGAATTTTGCAAAAAATTATTTCCGGAAAGTGTTCTTCAGGCGTTTTGGATTATTTTTTAGTATTCATTCCTATATCCGCACAAATTATTGTAACACTACCCGCACCCGATTTTGTAAAACCTAAAGTACGGCCTTGCAGACTGAATGTTCATACATGTATTTTATGAATTTATTTCAAGAAAATGATGTTTTTAACATTTAGGGGATATTATTAACGAGTTGAATTGAAGCCATTGCTGACGTTTCATTTATTCGATGACTAGGTATTTCAATAACACCTATGAAAAATAGTACGTTTTTAATTAATTATTACTTCTTCTAACAAACAGAAATAAACTGAAATATTAAAGATAACATGATGAGATTTTATAAACTAATCATACTATTGTAGGATGTTCCATACACAAGTAAATTATAATCTAGCATAGCTCTAACGCATTCTTATGTTCCTTGATTAATATACACAACCGCCAATTTTATTGTTATTAGATACTGCTAAAGACTTCGGACTATCTAATGAGGGCTAATAATTTTCTGTTCACCAGATGTCACTAGTTGACACTGAGGTAAAGTTTTTTGTTACACAGTGTAATTTAATTGAGAAGTTGTTTTTTAATAAGAGTTAATCTAAGTTTCTAGCGTATTAAATTAATACACAAAACATTGCGTCAGTGGTTTGCTCTTTAATTTTTTTGCACATTTTTAACTTTTTTAAATTTTTCTACTTTTATGAATATCTGTGGTTTGGTTTATTTATTTTTAATGTTATTAATATAAAACATAGCTAATAATACAAAAAGAAACAATAACTTTTACAATTTCAACACAAATTAATTTCCCCGCTATGTAATCTGTCAAATATTACCTCACTTTCTAGTGGTGCCGCCCTGGTGGCAGAAAAAGTCGTGGATGCCCTCATTAGCTTAATCGTTTTCGGGAAAGATGTGTTGATAGCCCGTGTTTTAAGAATTGATAACGTCATAGGACAGCTTCCATGGTTGACTTTCTTATACTGGAACTCTCTCGACTTAAACTGCGTTTATTACTGTCAAATCGCTTAGTACTGTCAGCAGATTTTTCCAGTTTTTATTGCATGGATTTGAATAGTAGTTACTCTTAAAAGATATGTATAACCGATTTAAGACTGTAAAACTTTTTATTTTAATCAAAAATCACCACTACGTATTAGATTGCGGAATTACTTTTCTTCTACCTGTCTTAAATTGATCAACTTTTTATATTCAGAGTGTGAATATATAATCTTCTTTCTCTTGCCCCACCGCTGCATTCAATCCTGACTCTGATCGCTTAAGGGTAATGTTTGAATATGGGTAAATTAGTATGAACGAGAGAGTTGGTTTTTGTTTGTTTGAACATTTCTGGTATTATAATATAATGCCGTAGCACACAAACAACTTTTGGGAGTATTTTGAGTATCAAGATAGATACATAGACAAGGCCTTGTTTAAAAGTTGAGATATTTACTTTATACACTGACCTCTATATGTGGACTGGCTATAACTGTGACATAATGAGGCGATTTGATTTTCGCTATTTTGAAGTGAACGTCCACGGAACTAATAATAGAGATAAGAGAATTCTATACCCAGGTCTACCCGTAACATCCATTCTCTTTATATATTAATATAATGCCGTACAATAAATAAATGTATCAATTAATACCTAGGCCTTAGACGCAACCTCTATACTTCATATAAAACAAGAATCGAGGCTGCCTTGATCTATCAACGTTTTTATTCGTAACTACAGAACATATTTTGTTCTGGGTTTCAAATCAAAAAATGCCTACGCATACCTGCATTGCGGGGGCAAGAACGGAGTATGTCGGACTTGCACCTACTAAAACCCCATGATGTTCCACCTTCACCACACATTGACAAGGCCACGGAAACGCTTTCAAGCACATCCGCGGCCCCACCAGCGAGGACTCCTCCTTAGTTGAAGACTTCCCTTCCTGACTTCCCGAGCCCGATATGTGGAGGCCATGGAGCCAAGAAAAAACAAGCACTCGGAAGCACCAAGTGGTACAGTCCCGCCAAAGTCGCGGAGGATAATCGAGTGGCGCATTACCATACCAACAATCCTCTTCCCTTGCGATACCACCACGGCCGCAGCGATATAGAGAGAGGACTCTCCTCTAGCCGCAGCTCACTAACACACATACATGGGCTCGACAAGCCCACAGAGTAGCCACCTTGGGCCAGCCCTTCACTTCGCGCCAGCCATGTGAGTCGCCCTACGTTTACCATGGGTTACCAAGCCAGTTCCAATATAAATTTATTCCCTCGAGACAATAAATTGGTCATGCTATGGCCCTTGAGTCTGGGTGAAAATAAGGAAAAAGAAAAAAAACATTCGAAATAATAGTCTAATACTTTTATACTTACTGGTACTGGTATTACCAAAAAATATTGTGGGTATACTCTACTTTTTGAAAGTGGTGCATTTCTCATGTCTAATATAACAGTCGTCTGTTTAGGACAAAGATAATCATTTTGTTTGGGACGCCAATTCACATTTTTTGTGCTTTTTAATCATAATTTTAGTTTAGGTTCTAGTCCTAGGTAGCTTGGTTGTTAACAGATATGGGTAGAAAAGAACATCGATAAGTATTATAGACAAGGAACTCAACAACCCTATTGAAATTTATTGTTTATCAAAACTTAGTAATATAAAATAAACATGTTGGTAATTACGATATTAGGATTAGAAACAAATTTTTAAGTATCAAATAGCTTTAATTTGCTTAATATTAGCTGCAAATACACTTACTTGTGGAATGTTATCCCACTTTCCTTTTGGTGAGTTTTATATATGACGCACACTCCCATTATTACTAAAAATAATTCTTATTATGTAACTAAAATCAAACATGATCAAATCACACAAAATACTTTCATTTTTTAGTTTAAAAATTCAAAATACAGAGATATGATTTAAATAATACGACTGGCATATTATGTCAATTTTAGTTCTCGGTACGGACAATGATGGCGCTTTAAATCGGCATAAGCATTTTGTATGGCATAGCCAGTCCAGCGTACTTGTATATACCTATAGAGGTCAGTGACTCTATAATTGTAAATTGGGTGGTTAGCATAAAAAATTACCCATTTATTTTTAATTCTGAAAACACTACATAATAAGATTTTTTAATTTTTTTGGTTGATGTTGAAGAATAATTCGAAATATTACGTTTTTTGTTAAAAATCCTTATATTAAATTATTAATTTATCATAACTCAATGCCTTTATCTAATACTCACTAAATATTTTTAATGCTTAGGTGTGAAGTTGCGCTTAATTGAAGCTAGGCAGGGAGATGGTAGAGTAGACAGGAGTAGGCCTGGAGTCGTCTAGATATTGAGGCAAAAACACAAGCGGACTTAGGAAAGGACTACATTATATAGTTATTCAACATTTAATTTGACCTTGTCTTAAGGTTTGTTTACACGAAGGTATTGTGCAGGCTAAAGGTTATCTTTACATTTAAGGACTTGTTTCACAATTTTTACACCTGAATATTATGTGTCACTTTTCACTGCCAGATATTTTCTATGCGGCTTGAAGAAAATATGTTTTAGTTTGCAAATAAACATAATATTTGTTTTATGTACCCAAATATTTATGGGTAATTCAATTTTATCAGCAATTTCACTGAAATTCGAGAAGATATTTGTTTTTTACCTTATTAATTTGCTCGTTTAATATACTTACATTATAATGACGCAAATAACATTCTGTAGTTTATATTAAGTGTGTAATTTTTTTAATGAAAATGATTTCATTTCAATTATTATTACAAAAAGTTAAGTTTAATTGTAAAATTAGAGATTTTTTTGTTGAAGCAATTTTAAATACTTAATCTTATTTATTATTAGGTATACTGTCCTATTATTAATAATCAATAAATGTTATAAGTATATTATGACAAAACACATTTAATTGTTCATATTTGTAGTCAATTTTGTAATGTAATAATATTAATAGTTCCTGTTATTCGCGTCGTGCAATAAAAAACTAAATAAACCCTGTTTTCCATGGACTCTTCTACGCGGTGGGCAAGTTTCTGTTCGTGGAAAAGGCCATGGTAAGTTGACTTTGGTGGAATAAAAGGAATGAAAAATTTATAATTTTTTTATTTTAACTTTGACACTTACTAATACTTCATTGACTAGTTGCTTAATATTTACATTATCATACACATTGTTCATCAGTAATTTATTTAGAGTGCAGGTAATTAAAAAAAAAACAGGCAGTCATAAGGACTGCCGACAGAAGCGAAAACTCAATAATATAATATGCGTATACATGTACATTGTACACAAGCCGCAACACTACGCGTCAATAGTCTGGCTTACACCACACTAGCGACGCGTAGTAGAGATGCCCGTGACGCAATATGTCACGAGCATGTCGAAGTCATCGGTGACGCAAACCCATAAGTTTTTCCCCTACCAAAAATCGCTCAACGCGGCTAAAGAAGTCTTCACTTCAAAAGAATTGGTATAATGGTTATAGGATTCAAATAAAATATTAAACACAAATAAGTTACAAGTCTTGAAATCATAATTACCACGCCATACTGTGTATCGTTTTATTTGAACTACGACGAATGGTGCTATTTATAAATTACATTTGATGGTAAAAAGAAAACTCATCATCATTGTCATCGTCAATGTCATCGTCAATAGCCCTTTGAAGTTCTGTGCTGGACGTATTAATTCCAAGAATGTTTCGCAGAATGGTGAGCGCAGATCCCTAGGCGGGCTATCTGCTTATCCTACGGTTGTCAGTTTCGCACTCAATAATCAATAAGGAATTTGAAATTTAGAAACGAGTATTATATAGTTTTAATTAGCACATTTCTCAAAATTCGCTTTTCTCAAGATATTTTTCTACTACGCCAAGTTGGAGAAAAATCAATACGTAAAACTGTCAATGTTTTAATGGTTTTCTATGGTGTAGTTTTAAAGAGTGGCGTAGGGACATGTTTAACCCTAAAATTCTAATATTCATTGTTAGGTTCATGCTGCAATATTGGATATTGTTGTGTGGCAAAACTCAAGCTTACAACTATTGGCATCACTCTTTAATTTTAACTCTGCTGTCTCCTGCAGCTATCGTAATACAGGTGGGCCATTAAAATGTGTAAGTATATGAAAAACAAAATATAAATATATAATATTAATGTCACCGAAGTAAAAATATTATATTGGAATTAAAATAAACAAATAAAATATTTAACTTTTAAATTACATCGTCTGTGATGTGGTATGAGCTATCTTGATGCTGGCAGTTTTCGGCGACTGCAATTCATTCAAGTGTCTTATTGGCACAGCCTGTATGTAAGTTCTCCCATATTTACCTATGAGGCATTGGAATGTTATATTGTTGAAGTCAACCAACAGACAGGACAAAAATAAGTATTAAAATTAATCTGTATAGAACAAATATATCATTAGATGTGTAAAAGTGACTTCACGTAATATGTTACCTCTCTTGCGAATGTCGTGACTGATAGCTTAATTATCCTACCTAATAATTTCTTACATGTACGTAGGTTACCTTTTTCTTTTATTTTTTGCACTCTTATATGAATTCTGCCAATTTCGTGCCAATGCTAATAACAACAAACATCTTTTTAAATAATACTTAGCACGTTATGCTACTATCTGCCAGCCAAAAGTACTGCCCTCAAAATGAAGAAGCTTTTACATACAAATTACATAATATGTAACTAAATACATTTTTGTGTCAATAGGCAGACAGAGGGTGCAGTTATATTGAATCTGTCAATACTTTTTTGGTATAATCAATTAATTATTATTTTTTGTATAGTTAATTTTACATACAATTAGTTTTGAACACATTATTTGTGGTTTGCTTGCTGTGGATGAACTGGCAGGCACGGACATGGCGGAGGCTGGCCGAAAGGTGTGGTGAGTATGGTTGGGAAGAAACCTGACGCGGCTGCTAAATGCCTGTAACGTTAAAAGTAAATATAATTGTAAAATTTATTAATTAAAGACACGTGAATTGCATTACTGTTGGATGGCAATATTAAATTAATATGAATGGTTGTACTATTTATTAAATTCCTAGATATCGAATAAATATTACAGTAAAAACTAAAATTACAGCCTATATACGTCCCATGGCTGGGTCTTTTTGTATCTCCTAGATGGTTTTAGGGCAAGGAAAATGTCCGACACGCAATACATTTTTTTTATTTTTTTGTTGGCAGACTAAATGTCTTTGGAATATTTTTTAATTTCTTAGCCAATCAGTACTTAAAATACAACTATGTAACCATATTATCGGTGACGGTGGGGTTCAAACCAGGGTTAGCCCCTAAACTAATTATGATTGCTGTAATGCAAATTATGTGAGAATTATTGTGCATTGGTAATGATCTCCCGGGATCCTGGACCAGATGGAGTTTGTAATGGTCTCCTGGTCATTTCTGATTAGTGCTATTGTAAACATTGAGACATTATTATAAAAAAAATTATAATTCCTCGTATGGTAGGGGCGTAGAAGAATCATTGACTTTTTCACCCTGTGGAAATTCTAGTGTAGATTATAGAAAAGGAGACGCTATACAACCCGGTTTCCGAATTCTTATGACTTACTGGCAGCGCAGCAATTAAAAAGATATTTGGCAGAGTTTTATAACTACCCCGTATGCTGTGCATAGTTTATTACTCTTAGATATTTTAGAAACAATAATATACCTGTATTGTTGATCAAGGTGCGCCTTTTCAATTCTTTTATCTTTAGCTCTTCGGTTTTGGAACCAAATTTTTACTTGTGTTTCGCTTAGAGACAGTGCAGATGCCAGCTCACATCTATAATGTTAATAAAAAAATATTGAAATAATCTTAATTTGTAAGCGAAAGATTGAGAAGAATAAAGATGTAAGACGACTTGACAATGTCACGTGGTCAGCGATGCCTTTTCCTGGGGTGCATTTAGACTGATATATAATTTATATCTACTTGAGATTGTTGTCTTGATTGGTTCACGTATAATTTAAATTTATTTACTATTTAATAGACTCGTTTCGCCTAGTGTTTTTTTTTATATAGAATTAGGGTGACAAACGAGCACACAGTCCACCTGATGGTAAGTGGTTACTGTGGCCCATAGACATCTACATCTATCTTCGTTTGCGAATTAAAATGCATATGCGTTGTCAGCCGTGAGGACTTAGATGGAATGCCTCTTTTCCAGTAAAAAGCGTCTCCGGTTCTCTACACTCACCACACGAAACACAGCAGCATTAAGTTGCCATTTTACGCTGGTATACTGTGAAAGTATGGTCCTTCCAAGGTCGAGCTGACCCATTCGTGCTACAAATATACTATTAATATAACTGCAGCATGGCTTTACCATGTAAAAATCGTGTCGGTATACGAATACGGTAGGCAAATTGTAGGGCGGCCCTCCACTAGATGGAGTGACGACCTGGTAAGACATGCAGGAAGTTGATGGATGCAAGTGGCTCATGACCGTGCTTTGTGACATTCCTTGGGGCAGGTCTATGTATGTATATAATATGAATTTTTATAGAAGTAAGGGCGAGAAACGAGCTCACGATTCATCTGATGAGAAGTGGTTCTTGTGGCCATCTGACCTCGGTTAATCAAAATTTTTGTGCCCTGGATGACCAGTAAAAAAGGTTCTAATATATTTTTACTATATTAGGGTTATAGTGGCGGCTATTCGTAACGCATATATTAAGTTTTCGTTTTTTGACATAAATTAGTATTTTTTTATAGAAGGGCAAACGAGCATGCGGCTCACATGATGGTAAGTGACTACTGCCGCCCATGAATAACCGCAACACCAGGGGAATTGCAGGTGCGTTACCGATCTTTTAGAAAGGAGTAAGCTCTTTTCTTGAAACTTGTAAACAATACCACAGAGAAGTTGTACGAGGAAGAAAACTCCTAGTAAATCGGACAGTGGTGGACCGCTAAGCATCCAGATGGTGAGGATGGTATCGTGAATTTTGAGGCGATGTGCGTTGTGAAATTTGGCGGCTGGAATAAATCCGAACAATTCCTCAGAATCGTAAATTCGATAGAAAATGCAAAGAAGATATCGAGCCGATCAGAAAGAACTCTGTCGTCGACAATTCGAATCTCTGCGTTGGATGCGGTCAAGTGGAAGGAGCTGGCACTGGGGTGCCCCGGCCCACAGATGAGAACAGTATTCCATGTGAGGCTGAACTTGCGCTTTGTAAAGTTGCAAGCAATGTGCCGGCATGAAATACTGTCTCGCTCTACTGAGCCAATTTGGCCCTGCCTTCCAAGTGACCACTAAACTGCACACTATTCGATATGTCGACGCCGAGCATTCCGATGCTAGCTGAGGCAGCAAGTGGAGTGCCTTGAAACAGGAGATATGACAAAGGGGTTCTTTTTAGCGATAAACGCGCAAACTTGTGTCTTTGGGGATTGAACTGAACTAGATTTAGTCGACCCCAATCCGCGACTTTGTTCAGCAAAGACTCGACTTCAGACACAAGTTTGTCCCGGTACTCGGCGACGTTTTCCCGGGAAATATTGGCACGGCCGGTGTATAAGGCATCACCAGGTCTGTCGTCTGCATAGCTATGAATGTTACCATTTTGCAACATCAACATATCATTGATATGCAAAAGAAACAGCGTTGGTGATAGCACGCAGCCTTGTGGAACACCAGTATTAATAGGTTTGTAATCAGATCATGCACCGTCTACTACGACCTTGGTGCTCCGATAAGTAAGGAAACTGTTGATCCAATTGCACAATTTCTCGGGAAGCCTATAGGAAGGGTGCTTCGAAAGAAGCGCTTTGTGCCAGACGCGATCGAAGGGCTTCGCTATGATCAAACTAAAACGGCCAATGCCTCCCCCTTGGACTCTACTGCCTCCGCCCACCTATGAGTCAGATAGACGAGAAGATCACCAGCTGATCGACCCTGAGGAAAACCGTATTGACGGTCACTAATCAGCCGGTGGTCCTGAAGGTACCTCATGAGCTGGCAGTAATTGTTGCATACGTCAATTTAAATGTGTCAAAATAAAGTTTTTCTTTTATTCAACCCCACATCATTTCATGAGTGTCATGAGGGGCCACAGAGGGAAATGGAATAGCAGATGGGCAGCATCTTCCTGACATAAACTAAAAAAAAAAAAACTGCGTTACGCGTCAGCCTGCTAAACGTGGCAACTAGGGCTAATATTCTTCCTATGAGGCAATCGATGAGAAGACCTGCGTTCGGCAGTGGACTTTTGATGATGTTGATTAGAGTGACAGATGCTAACAGTACAACAGATGAAAAATAACTATTTCAGTCTGCATTTATAGCAAACTTCTAACAAAGTTACGGACGCGCTGTTAGTTCTGATGTCTAAAGTGTTCGAAGCCTGTTTTTAAACTGGCTGTTCCTGTTATTATATTTAACAGTAAAAAGTCTGTACCGTACCACCTTATCCAAGTACATTCAACATTGCTGGGTTTCATACCTACTTAACGGATGGTAGGATCTATACCTAACGTGCGGTTAATGAGGCGTTCCAAACATAAAATGCTTACAATAATCAAAATAGTTCTTCATCAAGGGCAGACAGAAGAAAGAAGACGACACGACAGTTGTTAACGGCTGCTGGGAACCAGAAATATGTAAGAGAGGGTTCCTACCCAGGACTCAAAAACGGATAAGCCTTACCACTTAGTACTAACTCAGTAATGGTTACGGATGCGGAGCACAAAATCAGAATGTCGTGGGTTCGAATCAGCCAATCGACTATCGTGAACCACTACTATGCATTTATAAACTAACTTGGAGTTGTCAAAAGGAGTAAGTTTTAGTAATGTTAATAGCGTTACTATAATATTCCATTAAAATAGTGTATTCTATTTAAAAAAGTATTATGAAGATTATACGTGGTAGAGCCATGCTGCGACTATATTAATAATATAGTTGTAGCACGAATGGGTCGACTCGACCGGGGAAGGACCACGCTCTCACAGAATACCCAGCGTAAAATAGCAGCTTAACACTGCTGTGTTTCGTATGGTGAGTGTAGAGAATCGGAGATCCTTTTTACTGGAAAAGAGACATCCTATCTTAGTCCTCACGGCTGACAATGCATCTGCATTTTAATTCGCAAACCACAGCAACCACTTACCATCAGGGTGACTGTGTGCTCGTTTGTCACACATATCATATTAAAAAAATATAGTACTTTATATAACTCTTCTGTCAGGGTGTTACCACACCGATCGATCGATCGATCGATAGTAAAATGGATTAGTCGACGTCGTTCGAGCTCCTTGATTATTCGAATATATTTTGAAAGATACTGATGATGAGCCCACAACCACATCGATTATATGTTGATCGATGATTGAACAACGTATTATTGACCAGTATTCGTAGATCAGCTAAATCTACTATCGATCGTCATCAATGATCAATAGCAATCGATAATAGCATCGATGGATGTCGAGCGATTGATGTGGTAACACCCTTACAAATATTTTTAAGTACATTTTTATATGAGATAAAGGTAAGAAACGAGCACACAGTCCACCCGATGGTAAGTGGTTGCTGTGGCCCATAGCTGTTTACATCTATATCGACTATAGTACGTGAGGGTAATATAGGCATCCGGTTAATATGATCACTTTCTTATAACTCAAAAACTACAGTCTTGTTTGCATAGATTGTTGTGTGATACGATAGCTCTTCATCATTCAATCAAATAATAAAAGGTCCAAAGGGTTGCTTGATCAAAAGGGTGCTTTGTCGACTCCATTTTGACAGTTGACATTATAGTAAATAATTTAGTTGGTTTTAGTATTGTGTACTATTTTTTTAAGGAAATTAAAAAAGCATTAATGGTATTCTGTGAGAGCGTGGTCCTTTCCCGGTCGAGTCGACCTATTCGTGCTACAACTATATAGCTGCAGTATGGCTCTACCATGTACACGAATCCACGTACGTATCGAATTTTGCTGAATTTGGCACGGAACAGCATTTAATGATGTTCCTAAATTCAAGGTCACGCGAGTGAAGCCGCGGATAAAAAGCTAGTTATTTATATATTTGAACTTAGGTTAAAAATTTTCCTACACTTGGAAAAAATAACTTCTTCTGAAAAAAAAAGGCCAGTTTACAATCATATATTATGTTACACGAATAACAACACAAAACAAATCAGAAATAGCTTAGTAGCGATCACCTCATCCCCCCAGGTGTTATTATCAAATTATTAAGTGGCGAAGCTTGCGAAGTCACTTATTGATTTCACGATGTCTGTCCGTCTGTCCGTCTGTCCCACGATTATCTCGAAAACGGTTTTGAATTTTCAAATTCTGTTTTCAGCAATCGATTACTGATCACCCAGGTATCTGAACCTCCTATTTTGAAACTGATTGCTCAACGGCAACCGTTAGAAACCGCTACAAAACTGATTGCTTCGCCACTTTGCTATGCTGTTAGCTTGCTAGGTTTATTAATATAATAAAAAAAATAAAAATTATTAATTTAATATTATAATAAACCTAGCAAGCTAACTGGGTGATCAGTAATCGATAGCTGAAAACAGAATTTGTAAATTTGAAACCGTTCTCGAGATAATCGTGGGACAGACGGACAGACGGACAGACATCGTGAAATCAATAAGTGACTTCGCAAGCTTCGCCACTTAATAAGCCTTTTTATAAAATCTTTGTTAAATGTGTTTAACTGCATTTTTTCTTAGTTTTACAAAATAAAATATTATACTTCTACTAAGAAAATAAATCGTTAAATCACTTAATGGTTTTGTAGCGTAACGGTGTATCTTAACTGATTTCTAGCGTATGATACTCGTAGCAAAGAAAATTTTGTACTTAACCGCCAAAAAGGTTAATCTGTTGTTGGAACTATCAGAACTAACAGAACACCAAAGTGAAATAGCAGCTTATTGATGCTGTCTTTCATATGGTGTGTGACAAGAACCGGCAACTCTTGCATTATGTTTCTTAGGTAGGTAGGAGGTAGGTGTCTATGGACCATAGAATCCAATTACCATCAGGTGGACTGCGTTCTCGTTTGTTCTACAAAAATGTATCGAACATTTTCTGACAATAGGGAGAAGGAAAATGCTTCTGTTACACTGGTATTTCTTATTATGTCTATCTTAAATTTAAATAACGCCATACGAGACTGCCCAGGCGAAGTCGGGGCGGGTCGCTTGTTTGATATAAACAAAACTTCGTTCAAGCAATAATAAATAATACTTAAAAAAACGTGTCTTAAGTACGATGTGATGTTGCTTCTGCATTCATTTGCAGTAGGCCTGTTTGTCACAAGTTATGTCGGTACTTAGTATAATTGTTAGACTAAAAAGAACCAATTTTTACCTTCGCGTCCTCGCTACATATTCGCCTCTCGCATATTCCAATTCAAGACGAAGGGTTTGATGTGCTGAGAAGGTTGTTCTTTGGCGACGAGGTCGACTCTCTTTACGTCTTCTCCGAGCCACTGAAAGGACATAAGTAGGTATTTATTCGGAGTTCTTTGCACAGGCACCTCAAAACATTATTTAGGATTTTTATCGTTGTATCACGAATGGGTCGGCTCGCCCGGGTAAGCACCACGCTCTCACAAAATACTAGCGTGAAATACCAGATTAATGCTGCAATATTTTGACTGTGGCAAGTGTAGAGAACTGGAGACCCATACTACTGGAAACGTGGCATCCCATCTTAGTCCTTCGGGGTGACTACATATTGTGCATTTTGATTCTGAATCGAGGGTAGATGTAGATGCTCAAGGGCCACAGCATCCACTTACTATCAGGTGGACTGTGTGGTCGTTTGTCTCCCTTATTCTAAAAAAAAATGATGAACAAAGGTACTTCCTTCTCTTTGCATTTGTTTGTATACAGGTGTAGCATGTCTCTCCTTAGCAATACGTGTTAGATCCGTGCTGAGGATGTGTTATGGCTGTAGCAAGAATAGATCGGCTCGACTAAGGAAGGCCGCGTTTTCATAAAATGTTAACATAAATATTTGCTGTGTTTTATAATCTTTTTATGCATGACTTAATTTCTCTATCCACCTCTCCTCTGTCCACCATCGAAAAAACTAAATACCCAGCGTGTCTTTTTTTTTATAGAATTAGGGTGACAAGCGAATACACAGCCCACCTGATGGGAGGTGGATGCTGTGGCCCATAGACATCTACTTCTAGATTAAGAATCAAAATGCAGATGCATTGTCACCCCTGAAGGCTAAGATGGAAAGCCTCATATCCAGTAAAAAGGCTCTCCGGTTCTCTTCACTCACCATACGAAACACAGCAGCAATGAACTGCTATTTTACGCTGGTATTCTGTGAGAGCGTGTTCCTTCCCCGGTCGAGCCGACACATTCGTGCTACAACCATATAGCTGCACCATGACTCTACCACGTTAACACTCTCAACATCTACACACCACTATACAACACATCCATACCCCCAAAGTTAATCCATATAGAGTAATTTGTTATGTATCTAGCAGGGCCCTCCTGGATTTTCATTAAATAATTATTTAAAAGGGGTTCTGAAACGGTCAAGTGTTAATACGTTTTACTTATTTGCATTAATCTATGAACATCTTAATCAATAGGAAAGTTGTCTGAAATCACATCCAACAATTAAGCAACTACGGTCTTATAAACACATTCAACCAACATAATACTGTACTAATCTCAGAAAAATCTAGAAACAAATCAAATAAAAAATCGTTTTGTTAAAACCTTTTGTGTTTTAAGTAATGCCTACTGTACTTACATACAACATATTGCGTAATAATTAATATTACCATACAAATCATATAACAATGCGGATTCAGGTTTTACTTTTTAATCTTGAGCGGACGTCGCACTATTATAAGGATTCTTAGCGGTTTTATTAGCGTCGGCAAGTGATTGAGGCATGAGAAAAGTGTGCTTGTAAGAGCTCCGATTCCGCGCCATATTGCTACGGAAGTGAAACCTTGCGCCGAACGAGGGTGAATCACGATCATTTTAATCGTTCTCGTTCATAACTTCGCAATCCGATACCTGCATATCGGTTGGTCACTATCATACAAATTTTAATACACGCCGCTATGTACGCCATCTGTTACTATTTCGTTGGTACAAGGGAAACAACTTCCGATTTGTAAAATGTGATGTAATACAGCTCAACGGTTTCAATAAAAAATATATTGATCACTCAAAGATGTTATCCTATAAAACATCTTTGCGGTCACTATTACATAAACAACAATCAAGACATGTGTATGTAAGAATGCTAGGTTATAGTTACACTCAATGATGATATTTATAATAATCAAATGTTATAATATGACATTGGTTTCACTTAATGTAAACTTTAAAATTAAGTTAAGCAATGCTATGGCAATATCCATTATATAAATTACACCAATGTAGCGGTAGTCTACAACACGCATGTCACCTCCATACAGAAAGAAAAAAATTAAGAAAATAAAAGAAAAACTATGTACATATAACACACTTACTATGAAATCTGAGGTTATCCTATTGATATTTCAATATGGTTTATAACCTTGTATACTTGATAGTTTATGTTCTTTCAATTCGTTTTATAAATTATCGTATGCAATAATTTATTTATTTTGGTCTAAACTAAGTTTTTAGAATAATACGCATTATTATAATACCATCACGATCAGATTGAAGCACCATTTCCGAGAATTATGCGATGTCCTGTTAATTTGCAATCTCCATACAGTTCGTTGATTATGTCGATCAAAATAGCCCTTCCGTTCCGCTGTGAGAGCAAAATGGACACAAAAACTGCACGAGTTTTATGGTTATATGACAGCATCCAAACCCTTATAAGTTAATTACGTTTAATATCATCTATTCGTGATTTCGTCTTTTTTACAGAAGGGTGACTAACGAGTACACAGTCCACCTGATTGTAAGTAAATGCTGTGCTCATAGACATCTATAGACATCTATTCTCGATTAAAAATCAAAATTCAGGTATTTAACACTTGTCTTCGCGTCTTCTTACCCTTGAAGGCTAAGATGGAATACTTCGTTTCCAGTAAAAAGGGTCTTCGGTTCTCTAAACTCAGCCTTAGGCGGCCATTTTACGCTGGTATTCTGTGAGAGCGTGATCCTACCCCGGTCGAGCCGACCTATTCGTGCTACAACTAAATAGCTGCAACGTGGCCCTACCACGTCTCTAAAATGGTAGTAAAGTTAGTTTTTTTATGTTTGTATATTCATCGCAGGTTATCTTTACTTTCATAACATTTAATGCTACAGTTTTTGTTATATTTTAATCGAAAATATTTAGCAAGAACTAATTTTCGAGTTATAGATTATTACTGGCATCAATTAAAAGTTAAGTCGTGAAATTACTTTCTTGCCAAAATGCTACTGCCTAAAATTTGCCGCGTGGGGCCATGGTGCCCCCTGGTCCTTCCCTTGATATGCCACTGCGTGGGTGTCGTAAGAAAAGACAGGGGAAAATTAAACAGCATATGAGCAGCAGCATCTCTCTGATAACTCCTGAAAAACTCAATAAGTATAATAAAATAACTGCACTTGCCAATCCTCCTGCCAAGCATGGAAATTATGGCAAATATCCCATCTATGGGGGAAAATTTTAACAGGCTGTAATGTATGATGAATTAATAGATACAAAAGTAGAAATAAAAAATATACCCTATACATTCATAAAAAAAGTTAGTATTGTTTCTTATTGTTAAAAAGGAAAATGATATGTTATGAATAGTTCGCATGATCCATATCGTTAGTGTGATGTACACGCGTGAGAGATTGCTGTTAGTTTATTTGCCTTGAATACTATTTTACTGTATGAGTATAGATTGCCCATTCGTCTAATGGTAGCTTCAAATACTTAATTGAAAGGAACAATGCAGTAATGGAGGCGTTTTATTGTATACGCATAGTTCGTGATTACTAAGGTCGAAATAATGAAGCTGTAGAAATATTATTGTATTGTTGAGTATACAAAGGAATACTTATGTATTATAATTGAGATTGCGTTAGTCCTATTTAAATAATGTCAATTTCACTAGCAACGCGTGTTGTGTCCGTCAAAGTTGATAGACATCTCACTGGTATTGCGATTGTCTGCCAAGGTTGGTAATTATGGCTGAACTTTTGTTTAACTTAACGAAGAGTCCTATGTTTAGCAGTGGGCCTTTAAGGATGATAATGAAGAATGTGATAAGCCAACGTAAAGAAATAGAAATCCAGCACCCCTTCTTACTCGATGAATTTACTAGCGACAGGCCCGGCTTCGTATGCGACAATCTTAACATAATTTATGTAAAGATTGTAGAAAATGATGGATTTTATACATCTATTATACACAAAATCTTCTTCAAGGTTTTATTAAATGATGGCGAAACCGCATTAAATTCCATCTATTTAATAGATTTAAAGTTTTACATGAAAACACAGATAGAAGCGGGGAAAAGATTTTTTAGTATTATTAAGTGATTATGTCTATACATAGCGTTACGCCTATATTCGCCAAGGCAGTAGGCAAAGTCTAAAGATTTATTCTGTCCTAAAGTAGCTGCTCTTTAGACTACGTTTGGCTAAAAAAAAGCTAACATGGAAAATTGTAAACGAAGTGACACTCGTCTTTCAAGACATGCTAAGCAAGTATTTACAACACGGCACATTCATAACATACAATAAACATGGGATTATAAGTGTATAACTAAAAGTCCCAAACCAACACGGCACTATTATTAATATTGTTAATAATATAATTAAAGGAGAGCCATGAGGGGATATGAAATTCAATGTTTGTGTGCTGGCGCGTGCGTGCTTGCCTGCGTGCGTGCGCGTATGTGTATATGTATGTTTGTATGGGGGGGAGGCAATATGAACTCAGTTGGCCAGATTTAGTGGAAGTCATTTTGAATTTTAGTAGTACATACAAATCTATATCATCAGCCATGCGGCAAATTCTCGCAACTTAGATGTTGCTAAAGTTTTTGAAAGTTTCTTGCAAGTATTCGCTTTTGCCAATCTTTAAGTGGTAGAGGCACACTGCAGATATATTTGGCTGCGGCACGAATGAGTCGCCTCGACCACATTCTTACAAAATACCAGCGTTAAACAGAAGAATAATGCTGTGTTTCGTATGGTGAGTGTAGAGAGTCGAGACATTTTTGCTCGTAAAGAGTCATTTCATCTTAGTCCTCAGGGGTGACAATGCATCTCCATTTTGATATTTCATCGAGGATAGATGTAGATATATATTGGCCGCAGTATTCACGCATCATTAGTTGGACTGTGTGCTGGTTTGTCACCATTATTCTATAAAAAAAAACTTTCATCTTTTCTCGGTTTTCCTTCATCACGTCTCATGTAGCATAACTGTGTGGTCAAGTAAGAAAGTTAACTAAGGCACTTCTTTTTAAAATAAACAAAACAACTTTTGACAATTAACATTAAGGTAAATTAATATATTGGTTTA